GCTTGTTTCCGTTGTGTTGTTGCTTGTTTCCGTTGTGTTGTGGCTTAATTTTGTTGTGTTGTGGCTTGTTTCCATTGTGTTGTTGCTTAATTTCGTTGTGTTCTGGCTTGATTTCATTGTGTTGTAAACTTGTGTTGCCTTTTTAAATTTTGTTGTGTACTACTGGGCCACCGTACATTCTAAATTGAATCAACTGAATCTGCTCGGATTTCTGTGCAGGTTTTTTTGTAACTTGAAAGAATATGTGTTAGTTTAGGTGTATGTAAAGGTCGTTTTGCATTGAACCACCTGATATGAATTTGTCCTATTTTGCATTAATCACATTTAACATACATAAATTTGACTTTGCAGCACAGAAAATGCATCTTAAATGCATTTGTTCTGCTGCTCTGTTGTCATTCTGTGTTCAAAGGTTTCAACACAATTGATATGTGAAAAAGTTAAATAAGCTTAAAATTATCAAAAAGTTTAGAGTAGACTAACTACACACATCACAAACCTGTCTTTTTAGGCAAGTACCAGATATGGTTGTCATGTCATAAAATATTTTTAATACTACTGAATTTGTATTTAACGTGATCACAATTGAATAAAACATTGTAAGTTATGCTTTAATTTCCACTTTTATTCACACAGAGAATAAATTACATAGAGAAACCAAACAAAGAACATTTACATTATCAAAGAACATTATGACTTTTAAAAACTCACTAATCTCTTACATTGTGCGTATATCTGGACTTTGTTGTTTATGATGAGAGAATTTGCGAGAGTGCAGAATTCAGTCAGCGAGCACAGGCACTGAACAAATCTCCGGCGTTTCAGCAGTGACTAATCTGAACACCTCTGATTGGTCATTGCATTCATAAACTCAACGGAATCGTGTGTGATTGTTTATCATGCGCACCGCTGAAATAGATAAATAAATAAATAAATATTCACCAAAAAAAAAATAATGATGCAGCATGAGCCGATAAATGACACTTTTCATTACAGTTTCACATTATTCACTTTATTTCGCTTAAGTGACTTTCACTAATGTGACTGAAGTAGGGAGAGTGGGAGGTAAGCCATCAGTAGCCCATTTAGGAAAAAAGAAGAGGGGAAATGTGCAAAAGATGGTATCTTTGCAGCTGTCACGCTAAAATAGGCTAAAATATCACTAATGTTATGCTATGTTATTACACATAGGGCAATAACATAATTTTTTCTGTCCAACTAGCTTACATAACCACACAGTAAAATGTAATTTTGTAATATAATGTAATTTTTTTAAATAAACGTAACATCACTCACTTTATTAATGTTTTTACTGTACAGTTGTGCAGTACATTTGTATTTATTTAATATACACATTTATATATACACATTTGTAATAATTTAAATATATACTTTTAAATAAAAAAAGCTAAATTTATGTTAAATTAATTCTATTTAGGGGTGGCAGAAGGGGTGGTTCGTCCAGGGTGCCATAGAAGCTAGCACCGCCACTGCCTGACAAGGTTGTTCATCATTGGTGCATGTTGACATTGCTTTGTTATATGCATGACAGTTTTATTCACAAATCGATAGAAGGGAACATGACTCACAATCTCTGTAAAGTTTTTTGCAAGAGCAGAGCATTCATGGCCATTTTCATCAACCTTGTAAACTTTCATTCCAGTGTGATTTTTCAAGTTTTCAAGGGTTGGTATAATGTCATATCCACCTGACATCTTTTGACAGGGAGAGTAGATGGTGTAGATGACAACACAGCTATCATTTTCTCTACGTTGTAAGAAGTTTTTAAAGGTTAAGAATGAGTCATTTTTGTGCAGTGCAGACACTGACTTACTTGTGCAGTTTTCTGATTTTTTACAATCACAAAGACGAGGTCCTGCTGCCATGAGGTCTTCACCCTTGTAAAATGTATTTTTTGTTATTTTCAGGAAGCTCTCATTTAAAGGATCAAAGTTGCCTTGACATTGATTCCTCGGTACATTGATGGCTACAGCATACGACTCCTCTTTGGTGTCTTTATAGCTGTAAAACATCAAATAGAGCAAGATAAGAAGAGTTTTGTGATTACCAGCAGACTAAACACAGTTTACTAATGACATTTTATTTCTTTACTTCATCTTTGTGCTACATTATATAATTCAATGCTATTTATAAAACCTTGAGTTTATGCGCTATACTCACTTCTGCTCAAAGAAGTCAATTATTCGGGCAAGAATTGTAAGTTTCATCTTCTGTTCTTCCACACTTTCTGTCCAGCGATGAGGCAGAAAGAGCAGCAGGAGTCCATTCAGAAACACAATGATCTTCTAAAGAGATAAAACATGCGCACACACTATACTTAATAACTAAATATAACAGTTGACACTGCAATTCCTAAAAAGCACTTTTTTCTTAGTGTAAAGAATATTTTAATAACCTAACGAACCTTTGTTTTGCTGCAAAGAGCCTTTTGTGGAATAGAAAGATCTATATGGAACCATCAATGCCAATGAAGAGCCTTTATGATTAAGAGTAAATTACTATATCCAACAAATTGAATGAAGAACAGCGTATAAAACATTACTTACCATTGATGCTGAAGGTTCAGGTCTTCTTCAGAGGCAAGAGTGAAGATGCTTGTGATGTAGAGACTATTTTTTTTAAATACATTTTTGTCTCTCAATACATCTTTGCACATTTCTTTGGAATTTAAATCAATATGGCACTCTGCAATAACTGTAGTTGAAGTTGACCCGATGTCTGTATCATGAATGAATCACTCTTTGAAATAGTTTCAAGAATCAGTCAAATAGCCATATGCTTTGAATCGATTCGTGATTCAGTCTCTTTCGAATAATTCACTTGTTTGAGAACATTTAGAACACAAAAAACAAAAAGGGTGCTGGATGAAGAGAATATGAACCTACAGATAGATAGATTTTTTGCACATCTGCACGTAGAACCTGTCAATGATGCTGCAATTCAGACAAAACCAGATTTCAATTAAAAGATTATAAAACAGTAGGCTAAAGTACCACAGCATTACCATAGCATGTTTTTTTTTAATACATTGGTGTACAAGGTAAATACCGCAGTATGTGAGTATCGATTTGTATAGGCCTATATCAAACTACAGTGATGTAAAGTTTTGCCACCTGTAGTCACACACTTTGCCCAGTCCTTGCAATAGGCCACAGAACACCCTGAATAGATGGCCAGCTAACGATGTGAAGGAAAACAGACTCACTCAGTAGTTTTTTCTGTCTTTAATGAGACACATGAAGCTTATTTGTCAAAAGATTTGAGAACAGACAGCAGTAGGTTACTTATTGACATCGAAATGCATTTTTCTACATTTTGTTGTGAGTGTTAACCACACACATTGACTTAAACATTTAAAAAGCAGCTGAATGCATTAACGTGTTAAGTACAAAGACATTTTGAAATGAATTATGATTTAAAAATCTATTGACGGGTCCAGTGTTTTTAAGTTGGAATTTCTGTTTTGTTGGGAATCTCTGGTTAAACATAGTATATTACTTTAACATTCTTTTTTGTTTTTGCATCCTGTTGTACTGTAAAAAAGCAAAACGACCTGAAGCTTGAACTCATTGTAACTCATATTAATTCATGCGATAGCTGGAGTTAGACAGTGCGCGTCTATGGGAGAGTTTCCTTCACCTTCACAAGCATAACACTCATTCGCACTCACACAGCGGTAGAGAGGAACATGAGCCACAATCTTCTTGAAGTTCTCTTGAAGATTTTCCTTTGTTTTGTCTGCCCAAAACATATGCTTAAAGACAAAAGCTTTTACTGAACTGTGCTGTCGCCAGTTCTCAAGACCAGACAGAATGTTATAAGGGCTGGACTCATTAAGGCAGGATTTAACACAGGGAGATTTGTACGTGTAGAAGATAGTACAGCTGTCTTTTCGTTTATTCAACAGGTTTGTCATGGGTGGTATGGGAAGGTTTTCGGTAGAAGTGAGTAAAAGACGCTCAGCATGTATGCTGAATCCATCAGACTTTTTAACACCTGCTACAATGAGCTCTTCACCTTCATAAAGTGGACGGATCATTTTCACATTTGGTCTCCTGTAGGCAGGAAATCCTTTTCACATTGAGTCCTAAGTACATTGATGGCGACGGCATATTGCTGTGGATCCCTGTTCACACTAAAAGTCTGATAGCTGGAAAACATGCAAAACATGCAAAACATTAAACTCAAGCAAACAACCTATGATATGTATGATACGAATATTGATGCCTCCTTAACGTATTTTGCTATGCTTTTGTTCCTCTTTTGTAAGTCGCTTTGGACACAAGCATCCGCTAAACGCATAAACGTACATATTTTGCAGTAACATCAGGGAGACTTACTTCTGATCAAAGAAGCTTACAATACGACCAAGGGTATGAATGTCCACAGTAAGTGGCTCTGCACTTTGAGTCAAAAGAAAAAGCAGGAGGAGTCCTTTAAGTGGAGCCATGGATTTCTAGATTTATAGAATTGAAGACACAATTAAATAAGAAATACACCCAAAATAAGTTCAAAAATTGATTCAAATGTGAGAAATAAATAATCAAGCTAGACTGCCTAATGATGTTACTTTCCATGGTTGCTTGTGCATTCACACTGGTGTCCTCACAGGATGTGAAGCACAACACCAAACACCCTGTGTTCATCTTCTCTCATGCTACCACAGCTGCATAAGCTTGTTTTCTTTCTCGCCAGAAATATTAACATGCCCCATAGTCTGTGCATGCATTTTTGAAAATGCTGTTCTTTAAGTATTTTTCTTTTCACTGTAAATACAAACACCCTTACATCTGCACATTTTACATTATACCTGCGAGGTCTTCCTGTCTTCTCCCCTTTGACCTTTTATGAGACACATGGACGTGTTTATGAGCATTACTGTGCTCTCATCTTGAAATGAAATTCACACACAACGTTTGCTAAACAGACAGAAATATTTATTTGTTCAAGCAGGAAGCTAGATTATTTTTCAAGTGCGTTTTACTAGTTCATCTAAGCATACTGAATTTCAAAACAAAAGGACAGCTCTTAATCACATATGCAAGGAATGAATGTTACTGCATAAAGCTTAGTTTTCTGGTGGAGGCAGACAGTGCGCGTCTATTCGAGTGTTTCCTTCCCCTTTACAAGCATAACACTGATTCTCACTCACACAGCGGTAGAGAGGAACATGAGCCACAATCTGCTTAAATTTGGTCTGAAGATCTTTTTTAGTGTCAAACTTCCAGAAATTCTTGAAGACAAAAGCTTTAATTCCATCATGTTCTTTCCAGTTCTCCAGGGCCTTTAAAATGCTGTGGCTGCCTGTCGCATCCAGACACGTATCGAGACAGGGAGATTCAAATGTGTAGAAAACAGAGCAGCCGTCTTTTCTTTTATTCAAAAGCTTGGTCATGGGTGAGTTGTCAGCAGGATTCAGCAGGAGAGACTCTGAATGCATGTTGTATTGCTTCTTTTTACTGATTACAACCTTTTTAGTTCCTGCAGCGATGAGTTCTGCACCTTGGTAAAGTGCCTTTGTGTCATCAGTAATAGCATTTTTCACGTTCACCGCTTCCTCTTGAGTCAGGAAGTTGTTCTGTGAAGGATTGAAGTTCTGTTGACACTGATGCTTTTGCACGTTGATGGCTGTAGCGTACTGACGAGGATATTTATCTCCATCGACTCTCTTATAGCTGGAAAACAGTAAACGGGATCAGTACTGCTAAGACACACACCCATCATGCCTTCTCATTTCTCTGCTTCCTCTTTGTTGCTCTACTTCCTCATTTCTTACTTTAAGAAACTCTTTAAACTCTAATTTTTATTAGATTTAATAGAAGAAGACTTACTTCTCCTCAAAGAAGTTTATAATACTTGCAAGAGTATTGATGTCCACATTGTCACCTTCAACGCTTTCTGTCCAACCGAGAAGCAGAAAGAGCAACAGGAGTCCACTCAGAAACATAGTGAACTTCTAAAATCACAAAACACACACAGAGAAAAACTAAATAAATTCATAGATACCATGTGCATAGTTCATCAGAAACAGAAAAACTCATCCAAACCCATTGATAATCACTCACTTTCCTAATCTCAAATAATGGATAAAAGGCAGGGACTCAAAACTCAAAAAGCCAACTTTAGAAGAAAAATGCAAAACTCACTTTATAGTTCACACATCCAAATGTCTGATTAAGACCTTGAAGTTGATTAAAATGTCACAATTTTTAACCTGTTAACTGTCACTGGCCCATCGGTAGGCCCATTTGTCATTACATGTTTTAAACAGTAATATCTTAGTCTGAACCTAAAGTAATCTTGACAAACTATATATCGTTTGAAAGCTTAAAGACTCTAGTTTTCATATTTGGTGACTCATTTTTGAAATATTTTACAGAGCAACTGTAATTTATTAATTTGTAAGAAGAGTACACATCAGAGTCAGAGAGCGAGTTCTGACCTTTACTTTGAAATAGTGATGCACATATGAAATCATGAAAAATCTGTAAATACCTCCATTCATTTTCACGTCAAGTGTTCAAATGATTACACCCATTCTATTTTTGGAGAAAAAAAGGTCTAAAAGTGTTTTGAATATAAAGGAAAAAACCAATAGATTCTCAGTTTGTGATGCAGCGTGAACTGTAACATTGGTCTAAAGTTCGGTTCTAAGGTTTTTTTAGAGGTTGAATTGAAATCAAATACTGCCATACTGCCCTTAATACTTCTGAATGTGATGTCTACTTCATAATTATTGAGAAAAGTATGGAAAAACATGTTTCAGATCACTGAAACCATATATGGAAATAGAGGCACCTCTATGTGGTTACTAATGGGATTTGATGGTCATCTAGTGGGAAAGCTTGGTACTACGCTTAAACTAAATTTCACTGAAAGCTCATTTTTTGAGATATCAACTTCAAATTAGGAACACAACTTGTTCAGATTTTGGTTTTAATTTTCTAGCAGTTTTAGAGCAAAACATGTTTTATTAGTGACTCCGGTGGCCGTTAAGTGAACTGCAGCCAGCAATTTGCTGGTACTTGCATTTGTGCAAGAAACTGAACATGATTCAGTGCTCTGATTATATCACTGCAATGTTCTTTTTCATTCTTTGCTTAATAGTAAAAAGAAGTTGGAAATACCTTTGCAGCGCAAGGGCATAAAATGTAATAGGGACGCTCATGTCCCTGCCAATATCCAGCAACTACTAAATTGTCCCTAAAAATAATTCTGATCAAACAATGAAATATATGTGTATGCAACCACTATTGTTGTAATTTCAGCCGCATCTGAAATAGGTCATACCATTGATATTACCTGAGAAGTTAAAGTAAATACACTAGAAAACCGCATGCTTTCGAAGGACGCGCATTTAACTCATGGAGTAAAAACATAGTATAAGGCAGCCGATGTGTTTAATATATGCGTGCACAGTTCAGCTGAATGATAAAGTTTACCGTCTTTAACTTTGTTGTTATGCTGTTTTGTGTTTATCTGCTTCTCCCATTTGCTCTTTTTGCATTGACTATCACTCTAAATAGACTAATGCAATCAGACAAAACAATAATTTCTCAAACATTTATTACAATGCATACTGACAAATTTAACATTCACTTCAATGGTATGAGATGACTGGATGCTTTCAAATGATTTCTTATTGAACTGTCACTAGCTTAACTACAGTGGTCAAACTTTTTTAAATATATGAACTACAAACTCAGTCATAATACACAAAGTTTTTTCACTAGTTAGCAGTAAACCGGTTTCCTCACCTCACCTGAATAGCAGCAGGACAATGATCCAAAACACACCAGCAAGTCCACCGTTGAATGGCTGAAGAAAAACAAAATGAAGACTTTGGAATGGCCTAGTCAAAGTCCTGACCTGAATCCTATTGAGATGCTGTGGCATGTTCTTGCTCGAAAACCCTCCAGTGTGGCTGAATTACAACAATTCTGCAGAGATGAGTGGACCAAAATTCCTCCACAGCGCTGTAACAGACTCATTGCAAGTTATCGCAAACGCTTGATTGCAGTTGTTGCTGCTAAGGGTGGCCCAACCAGTTATTAGGTTTAGGGGGCAAACACTTTTTCACACCACTGTATTTGTGTTATCTTTGGAATGGAAATATGGATATTTTATTTGTAAACATTATAACTTTTTTAGCTTATTTCAGTTAATCTCATAAAACTATTGTAGTGAGCTAAGCCAGAAGTAGTACTGATGGTGACGTAAACATGGCTGAAGATGAGAAAAGTGGAGGAACAGACAAACCTAATCAACTGAGTGATTCATTTATGCTGGAACTGCTCTGATTGATTCAAACTCGGGACTTCGATCATTCAGTTCAAGTGATTCACTAGCAAAAGTCAGTTCAAAAGAGCTATTCATTTTCAAATTTCGACATCTCTTGTAATAATTGGACATTCTGTTGGACATGGTCCCTACAGGGACAAGAGTGTTTAAAAACAGAACAGAAAAGAAAGTTTACTCAAACTTACCATTGCGACTGCTTGAATTATGAGGAAGACAACGCTTATTTTCAGAGCTGAAGCACTTTTGTTTCTCTTCTGATATGCTAATGGTTGAGAGGAAATGAGGCATATATAAAGACCTGACTGGTTTATAATTTACAAACTTAGTGTTTAACTAGAGTGGGTGGGATTTTTGTGTGTGTGCTTCTAACCTTTGTTTAAGATAACTGATAACCAGGTCCAGAATCTGTCAACATTCTTATCTTCCATCTTCTTATCTTCTATCAGGAAATCCAGCAGAATTATCTTCCATATCGGGAAATCCAGTAGAATACTGTAAAATAAATGTAAACAAGGCAAATATGGCAATCAGAACAAACAGTACTGTATAATCAATTCTTCAAATGAGTGGATGGTGCTATTAAACAATACCTAAACAGTAAAACAATAATGACACAAAAATATTCTGAAAAAAAAATCAATGTCATAGTATTGATTAATAAATAAATAATGACTAAATTACAAATAAAAAAAAATAAAATAGTGGCCTTTATGAGTGGATATAATCTACTGGAAAATTCATAAAACATGAGAGAAACTCACCATTTAATAGGTAAATTAATTTATACAAATGCATACCATCATGGAATTTCAGATTTATTAAAAGGCAAAATAAAAACACTTTAATTAATTGTTGAGCTGGCATTAAGTGAATGCATAGGTGAGTTCCTGGACATTTTCACACTAGTGTGTCACAGTTATGTTCTGTTAAACCCTTTTTAATGGACTTTTAGTTTGTTTATTTTCAGTCACATGTTTCCTTTGTTCTAATTTCCCGCCATTCATCTCTTACCATGGACACTAACTCAGTCTTCACAGTTGCTCATCATTTAGTTCATCACCATTGTGTATTTAAGTTCCTCCTTGTGCACTCTTCAGTGGTCTGGTCTCGTTAATGTTAAGTTGTTTGCTTGCCTGCTTGTTGGATCGTTGCAATTTTGGATGTGGATTTTTGAACCTGATCTTCATCTTTCTGTGCTTCTTACAACCTAAACGTGACACAGTGGGGCTAGTTGCATAAACATCGTCACTAAGTTAAAGGGATAGTTCACCCCAAAATGAAAATTCTGTCGTTAATTACTCACCTTCATGTTGTTCCAAGCCCGTAAGACCTCCGTTCATCTTTACATATTACATCAATTTGGAACACAAATTAAAGGGGTCATATGGTGAGATTTAAATTTTTCCTTTCTCTTTGGAGTTTTACAAGCTCTTGGTGCATAAAGAAGATCTGTAAAGTTGCAAAGACTAAAGTCTCAAATCCAAAGAGATATTCTTTATAAAAGTTAAGAGTCAACCACGCCTACCTAAAACGGCTCGTTCTAACACACCCCCACATGTCTACGTCACAATGTGGGAAGATTTGCATAACGCCGCCCAAATGTTCACGCAAAGAAAGAAGGCGTAACTTTTATTCTCGCTGTAGTATTGTTGCTGCCGCCATGTCGTGAAGGCGCTGTGTGTTTCGTTGTGAAAGCGAAACTACTTTGTTTGGCCTTCCAAAAGAGGACGATATCCACTTCGTCATGCCTGGAGCTGATCTGTGCTGGTCACTGAGGAAATACATCAACTTTGCATTGTGGATCGCCGGATCGGATTGCGAAGGATGAGGACTGTGTCCTGTGAGAGTAGCCTACAATGCCGGTGTCTGTTTCTATAAAGGGGGGCAGTTCCAACTTTGCAAGGACAGTTTGGAGCTTCTGACTCACAGTCTGTAAGTATGTTTTTTATATTTACAGGATTTGCCACTGACGATTCAAACGCTAGTTTGTAGAGTAGCACTTGTTGTTTCTCCGATCACAAATGCCTCGTTTGTAATGGGTTTTAATCTTTTTTTCTCGTCACTCTGGCCTGACAGGGCATCACAGTATGGTGAGGGGCGTAACATTTCAGTCACACGCTTGAGGTATTCAGCCAATCACAATGCACTGGATAGCTGGCCAATCAGCGTACACCTCACTTTTCAGACCGATGAGCTTTGTAAAAATCATCTAATCCAGGTTTATGTCTTCTCAATGACGATTCTAACTCCTGTATATGTTCATTAAAGAAGAGAATGTTGTTTGCTGGTTTTACAGCTGCAAAGAAGACAGTAATACAAAACTGGTTTACTCCGCACATGTGTGCAAAAACATTTTGGATTCATAGCCTCTAGGGCTGCACGATAAATCGCATGCGATGTTTAACATGCATCTTATCAGTAAAGCCGCTTCTGTAATCAGCGGTAAATCTCCATCACCTGCGTGCTTTCACTTTGAGAAGCATTTACTACACAGAGCCGTTGTTCACTGACGAGCTGCGCAAAACCACGTTCATATTTGCGCGATTTATCGTGCAGCCCTAATAGCCTCCTTAAAATAGTAACCTGTGAATGTACAACAGCACCAATTAACAAGGCTAAGCCTAGTACCATTGATGCATGGCAATGTTTTTCTTCCAACATTTTGGACTATATAAAGGAATGACCATATACATTTTTATTTTTATTTTTTATCTTCTTTTAGATTGTAAATTATTGATCATCATATGTCTGTTGCTCCCCCTTCCCTGTTTGTTTGTTTGTTTGTTTGTTTGTTTGTTTGTTTGGATGGATGTTATTTTGTTAATCTAAAAACAATAAAAAGTTGATCACAAGTTGAAGATGAACGGAGGTCTTAAGGGTTTGGAACGACATGAGGGTGAGTAATTAATGACCGAATTTTCATTTTTGGATGAACTAACCCTTTAAGACTGTGTCTAAACAACGGAGCTCACTGAGCCCTGAAGCACCGAGGGTGGCAGAGGTATCAATAAGCCTCTGTGAGGGCACTGAGGGGGATTGGGCAGCGTATACTGAGGTGTTATCCTTTCCTCCCCCGGTGGGCTGCCCTCAGGGACCTGACAATGGTAGGACCATTTCGCCGAGGTCCTCTTAGACAAATAACGGTCCGCAGATCCGTTTTCGGTCTATAAGACCCCAACTGAGAGCATCGCCCGACCCCCGATCTTTCTGTGGAGGGGTGCGGGTTGCAACGCTCTGTTTTTGAGACTGGCGATATAAGGAGCTTTATGACTTGGGCTGCTGCTCGCTCAGCAGCCCCACCCCTGAGCAGGTCAGCCTGGTATGCTTGTAACACCACCATGGTGTGCAAACATGCGCCAGCCTGACCTACCGCCGTATAAGCTTTCCCAACCAGACTCGATGTAAGCCTAACGGGCCTGGTGGGAAGCTTCGGGGCCTTCAGGGACGATGCTGAGGATGGGGAGAGATAGCTCGAAAGCGTCTGCTCCACCACTGGCATCGCCCCATATACCTTATCATTCAGCCCCACGATGTTCTTTGAATAATTCGAGACTGTGGGGCTGTAATACGGGATGAGCACGGTTTCTTCCACGATCTTGACACCTCAGCATGGAGATCGGGGAAACCGGAAGGCCCCCGTCGTGAAGGCTGTGATCTGGATTCAGAACATGCTCGTCTAATTATTTTTAGGACGAGCGTCCTGTTTCTAGGCTGGCCAAACAATATTTTATTTTTGGCGCGAATCACCCCCCATAATCAGGAATCACACCTCATATGCGAGGGACTGTGGTGGCGAGTCCACAGTCTCCTCTGTCTCGACACTCATCACATCCACCTACTCGGAGGAAGACAGATGAAGTGGGGGGGGGAAGAAACCGCAGCGCGGGCTTCCGAACCGTGAGAGAGAGAGCCGCGGATCTAGAGGGTGAGGACCGAGAAAAGGACGAGCCCGTCTCGGATCCCTCCGCTAAATCCACCCGCGATCCCCACGACAACAGTCTGCGCTGTGCCTCGGCAACAGCGGGACCGCTGCCAGCGGGATCGCGAGCCTGGCCGCTCTCATCAAACGCAGCCAGGCGAGAGCGGAGCGTGCGCAGCGAGAGCTCGCAGTGATGACAATCAGCTGCTCGAAAGCTGACCGTGCATGCTTCGCTCCTAAACAAACGACACACAAATCGTGTGTATCCCCTGCCGCCAGATATCGTGGGCAGGGAGAAACACAGCGTTTGTAATGCCGTTCGCTCGCCATAGACTTTCTCATTGTTTGTCTGAGTGCTTGTGCGGACAGACAACAGTAAATAGACAGACACATACACAGAGCGCTACTGAAGGGCAGAAGCCGATTTGCGCCCGGCCGGATGCACTTTTATGCTTTCTGGTGCTTACGTCACCCTGCTCGTGACGTCTCGCTGCTCCATTGGACGGATTTGACACGTGCTTCAGAACGCGGTCACGCAAGGGCGTTCCCAAAGCGAATCTCGACGCAGCTCGAGTTCCTGAAGGGGAACTATAGTTTAGCAACTATAGCTCTGGACAATCTACAGAGTGTTAAAGTAACACTGAAGCCGAGTTAACATTAATGGGATAATTAAGCGATTAATTAATTGATGAAGGAGCATTAGTAAAGAAAACCCGCTGTTAACAAAGTTGAAGATGAACAACTACTGCTCAGGCTTTTCGACATGAAAACGTATCACATAATCCTGGTAACTCTGCTTCAGTGTTACTTTAACACTCTGTAGATTGGGACAATATGTACTCTGAGCAGAGTTGATTTAACTCTGGGGATTTTGCTGTGTATTTTGACCAACAAGCTGTTAACCAAGTGTTCAGTCTTATACTTTTCAGATTCAAAATAGACCAATCTGACTTTAAAAAGTTATGACCAGCCTTGAAAAACAAATTAGCTTGACTAACTTGTAAGACTAGCAGCAGTTTATGTAACCAGCCACTGAATGTGACTTTGAGACTGAGCACAAAGATGAATGTTTCTCTGTATCTCTTTATTTACCTTTAGTTTCACTGAAGAGTGCACATTTCACTGAAGCTGTTTTTTTAACCTTTGGTTGATATAAGCTGCGGTGTATTCCAGAAAGCAATGTTAACTTACCGTCACATACACCCTGAACTCTCAGTTGATTAACCCAAACATTTCTTACTGAGATATGCTGGTTTCAAAAATGGGAGTATGTTCACGGTTAACACACAACACATTCTCAACAGAGCGATAAATCGACAAGTCAATA